TATGCTAATTTATGCCACTCTTATGCCATATGTGCTTTTGTTCCCTGTACCCACCCCACACCACTAAAACTCCTCATGTTGAAGTTATCAGACCTTGATTGTGCCAAGTCCACTTGGTAATTCACTGTCCTCATCTCAGAGCATTAACTATTATTATCCACTTGATCATCTTTTCTTCAATCTCTCTCTCTGCTTGGCATCGGGGCGATCATGCTCTTTTGACCTTATTCCCTCTTCATTGGCCACTCCTTTTTAGTTTTCTTAACTTGCTGTGTTGGTCTGTTCTTGTGCTGCTATGAAGAAATACCAGAGCCTGGGTAATTTATAAAGAAAAGAGGTTTAATATGCTCATGGTTCTGCAGGCTGTGCAGGCATGGCACCGGCAACTGCTCTGCTTCTGGGGAGGCCTCAGGAAGCATTTACTCATGGTGGAAAGCAAAGCGGGAGTGGGCGCATCACATGGCAAGAGTAGGAGCTAGAGAGGGAGTAAGAAAGAGAAGAGAGAGGTCCTAGACTCTTAAACAACCAGATTTTGTGTGAACTGAGTAAGAACCCACTCATCACCAAGGGGATGGTGCTAGGCCATTCATGAAGGATCCACCCTATGACCCGGTCACCCCCACCAGACCTCACCCCCAGCATTGGGGATTACATTTCAGCATGAGATTTGGAGGGGACAGACATCCAAATTATATCACTTACTTCTCTTCCTCATTTTTGTCTCTGTATGTGGAAAGTCCTGGCGAGCTTGGAGCTCAGTCCTCAGCCCTCTTTTCTACCCAGTTCGATGGCTTCAAATACAATTTATTTGCTGACAACTTCTACATTTATGTTTACCAAACTTCTTTCTAGAGTATTCAAATGCATACTCCTATATCCATTTGGATATCTCAGAGACATCTCAACCTTAATGAAGCCAAAATCATACTCTTAATTCTCAGCCCTTCAGCCAAGTCTACTCCGTTTTCATCATTCCTTTCTTAGCTAATGACACTATTATTGGCTTATACCACAATCTATAACTCATACAGGATTCTGTTCTTCCTCTCGCTTCCACAGTGGGTTTGTATGAACCAAACCCTACAGCCAAGTAACGTGATACACTTAATGAATGGTTGGCAGCTATAGCCTATTGGTCAAATCAAGTTTGCTGCCTGTTTTTGTAAATAAAGTTTTATTGGAAAGCACCGTACAATTCAATTGTGTTTTGTCTATAGCTTCTTTTGTGTTATAATGGCAGAGCTGAGTAGTTGAACAGAGATCATATGGAGCAGAGATCAAAAAGCTTAAACTATTTATTAGCTTGTGTTCACTACAGAAAATGTTTGCCAACTCTTCTTTTAATTGGCTGGAATACCACTGACCCAACCCGAACTATGGGACTGACAATGTTTATGTTGAAAGTGTTTCAGTTCTCTGCCATGGTATATCAAACTACCACCACATTTTGTGGCTTAAAACAATCATTTGTTGTTGTTCATGATTTGTGGACTGACAGGGGGTGGGAAGATCTTCTGTGTCACATGGTGTTGGCTGGAGAGCTAGACTTGGTGGTTGGAAGGTCCAGAATTGCTTCACTCCCATGGCTGACAGTTGGTCTCCACCTGGGTCTTAGATGAGGCTGTCAGCTGAAACCCTCATTTTTCTTTGATGTGGATCTCTCCATGTGATAGCTTGCACTTCCTCAGAACATGTCAGCTAGGTTCCAAGAATGGGCATTCTTAGAGAACAATCACCAATATGCAAGTGCTTATGAAGCCTCTGCTTTGCAACATTTAATAATATCAATTTGTGAAGAGGAGGGACTCCTCCTCAACTCATTCTATGAACCAGCATCATCCTGATACCAAAACCTGGCAGAGATACAACAAAAAACATAAACTTCAGGCCAACATCCTTGACGAACATTAATACAAAAATTCTCAACAAAATACTAGCAAATAGAATCCAGCAGCACACCAGAAAGCTAATTTACCATGATCAAGTAGGATTTATCCTACTTGGGAGGTCGAGGCGGGTGGATCATGAGGTCAGGAGATTGAGACCATCCTGGTTAACACAGTGAAACCTCGTCTCTACTAAAAAAATACAAAAAAATTTAGCCGGACGTGGTGGCGGGCTCCTGTAATCCCAGCTACTTGGGAGGCTGAGGCAGGAGAATGGCGTGAACACGGGAGGCGGAGCTTGCAGTGAGCCAAGATCGCACCACTGCACTCCAGTCTGGGGGACAGAGCGAGACTCTGTAAAAATAAATAAATAAATAAAAGAAAAAAAAAAGAAAAGAAAAAACTCTTACTAGAGTAAAATCACGCAAAGGTAGTGTGTGTGGAAAAGTCTTTGTACATCATTCATTCCTTCATAGTTACATGAGCTCACTCTGAACACAAACAATATGAGTGTGCTGGGGAATATGGAGAAAAGCCTCATGAACACAAACAATGTGGGAAAGCCTCCATTTCTCCCAGAAGTGGTCCAAGACTCATGGTAGTACCCACTAGAAAGGGATGTTATAAATGCAAGCTATGAGGCAAAGCCCTTAATTTCCCCATTTATTTCACAATGAACTCACACTGGAAAGAGGTTCTATAAATGTAGAGAAATTGTAAGAGTCTTCACTGTTTTCATTTACTTTCTTTCCTTTTTTTTTTTTTTTTGAGATGGAGTCTTGCTCTGTCGCCCAGGCTGAAGTACAGTGATGCGATCTTGGCTCACTGCAAACTCTACCCTCCTGCTCCTGGGTTCATGCCATTCTCCTACCTCAGCCTCCCGAGTAGCTGGGACTACAGGCACCCGCCACCATGCCTGGCTAATTTTTTTTGCATTATTAGTAAAGATGGGGTTTCACCGTGTTAGCCAGGATGGTCTCGATCTCCTGACCTCCTGATCCACCCACCTCGACCTCCCAAAGTGCTGGAATTACAGGCATGAGCCACCGCGCCCGGCCTTTACTTTCAAATACATGAAAACATTCACACTGGAGAAAAATGCTATGAATGTAAACACTGTGGAAAAATATTTGATTGCCCCAGTTGCTTTCCTTTTAATTTTTAATTTAATTTAATTATTTTTTTGAGTCTGTCACCCAAGCTGGAGTGCAGTGGCATAATCTTGGCTCACTGTAACCTCTGCCTCCTGGGTTCAAGCAATTATCTTGGCTAGCCTCCCAAGTAGCTGGGATTACAAGTGTGCACCACCACATCTGGCTATTTTTTGTATTTTTAATAGAGATGGGGTTTCACCAGGTGAAACCAGGTCAGACTGGCCTTGAACTCCTGACCTCAGGTGATCCACCTGCTTCGGCCTCCCGAAGTGCTGGGATTAAAAGATGTGAGCCAATGCGCCTGGCACTAGTTCCTTTCAAATACATGTTAGAACTCACACTGAGAAAACCCTTACAAATGCAAACACTGTGGTAAAGCATTCATTTCTTAAACTTACCTTTGGACATATGAAATCAGAATTCATGTTCTCGAGAAATCTCATGAGTGTAGGGAATATGGAAAAAGTTGCAATTGTTCCAGTTTCCTTTGAAGACACAAAAAATGCATAGTGCAAGAAACCTTCATGAATGTAAAAAATGTGGTGAAGTCTTTAGATGTCCCACGTCCTTTCAAGCATATGAAAGAACTCACATTGGAGAAAAACCCTACGAATGTAATACATGAGGCAGAGCCTTTAATTATCCCAGTTCCTTTTGAAGACATGAAAAAACTCATACTGGAGAAAAATGCTATGAATGTAAAAGGTGCGGTAGGACCTTTGGGTGGTGCATTTCCCTTGGAAGACGTGAAAGAACTCACACTAAAGAAAAACCCTGTGACTGTAAACAAGGTGGGCAAGTCTTCAGTTTTTAAAATTACCTTTGACTACAGGAAATAAATCATTTTGCCCAGTGCAGTCAGTACTTTGAGAGATTGAGGCAGGAGGATCATCTGAGACCAGCGGTTTGCGACCAGCCTGGGCAACATAACAAGACCTTGTGTCAAAAATAAAATAAAATAAAATAAAGGAAAAAAAATTAACTGGGTGGGGTGGTATGTGCCGGTAGTTTCAGGTACTCAGAAAACAGAGGCAGGAAGATTGGTAGAAGCTGAGAGATGGAGGTGACAGTGAGCCATGATCACATCACTGCACTGCAGCTTGGGCAACATAGCAAGACTCTGTCTCAAAAAAAAAAAAAAAAAAAAAAAGAAAAGAAAAAAGAAAGGACTGTCATTTATACAGGAGAGAAATCCTGTGGATGTACAGAATGTAGGAATGCATTCAATTTTCCCAGTTTTCTTTGAAGACATGAAGAGACCCACCCTGGAAAACAATTCAAAGAATATAAAAAGTGTAATAAAGGCTTTAGATGTCCCGGTTCCATTCAAAACCGTAAAAGGACTCACATTGGAGAAAAACCACCTAAATGTAAAACATATGGTAAAGTATTTAATTTTCCCAGTTGCTTTCTAACATGGTACAGGGCTCTGGAGAAAAATCCTACGAATATACAGAATGTGGGGATGCTTTCCTTGCTGTCATCTCCATTCAAAGACACAGTGCAATGCATGTTGGAGATGAACATTCTAAAATAGAAGAATGAATGCTGGGTAGAAGCCTTAGTAGTATGGAAAATATGGGAAAGTTTTTCATTTTTTTTTATTAGAAAAAGTATTTATTTCTGCTCCTTTCATACATCTTACTGTTCAGGAAACAGTCTTACATACATATCTGAAATAATCTACCATCACACACTCTAGTTAAATGCAAAGCACCATAGGTAAAGCTGATCAGCTGTCCACAGTTCTCAGCTTATGGAATCTTGCTTCTGGATTTTATGTTAATTTCTGAAAATCAGAAATGTCATCTCCAAAAAATGTTTAGGAGGTTGTAAAAAACAATCACTTTATTTGGTTTTATAGTTGTAGATATGGAGTATATTTTCTTTAAGAAATGAAAAACTAAAAAGAAAATACTACTCAACATTGTTGGTATAGCAATAGGTCAGCAGGAAAAAAAATACTGTGATAAACTTGTTTCTTTAGTACCAAGAAGAAATTCTAGTCCAAGCTTCAATACACTTCCTGTTGTTTCACTAGATATTTCTTTTACTGCTGCTTTTCATTCTTTTCCACATTTCGTATTAGAGGATTAGTACAGCCTTTAAAACTTCATTGACAGGAGCAAATCCAGTATCCACTGATTTCTTCTCAAAGGCACTCTAACCCATCAGATAGCCCGGCAGTTTCATTCTCATGAATACTCTAGCCATGAAAAAACTCAGTAGGACACAGATGAATCCAATGAACAGAAGAAGAAATCTATTGAGTTTTGGGATATTTGGTGCATTCGATCGGTCCAGGATTATGAAACCTAAACCTCCCATTGTAAATAGGAAGCTGGATGCAAGTCCTTCCATAATATATTGTCCATTTACTCTGTAGGCCAAGAAAGCTACTGGCCTCTGATGCCCATGTTCATCAGCCATAGAGCCAATACTTGGAGGTTCAACAATAACATCATAAATTATTCCTCCAGTGATGAGGAAGTAAGACACCACTACCAGAGCATACACAGTCATGGCCGATGGCATGTGCAACCGGGGCGGCTTCTTCAGCTTCAGGTTGGGACATTTGAGCACTAAGAACGGGACACGATACAAATTCTCCATGTTGGTGGCAGCAAGGGCAAGTTTTCCATTTTAATAATTACTTTAAAAATCTTGTGAAAACTCCCACTGGAAAGAAATCCTACAAATGTAAGTACTTTGGAAAACCTGATGTAAATTAATTATTGTAAAAGGCTCAAAACTCCAACACGAATGAATTATTATACAAAGTTATCAATATATGGTGTTTATCAGTGGCTCATTTTAAAGAGGATTTCTGGACGATGGATTTCTACTTTTTTTTTTTTTTTTTTTTTTTTTTGAGATAGAGTTTCACTCTGTTGCCCAGGCTGGAGTGCAGTGGCGCCATCTTGGCTCATTGCAACCTCTGCCTCCCGGATTCGAGCGATTCTCCTGCCTTGGCCTCCCAAGTAGCTGGGACTTCAGGTGCCTGCCACCACGCCTGGCTGATTTTTATATTGTTAGTAGAGACGGGATTTCGCCAAGTTGGCCAGGCTGGTCTCGAACTCGTGACCCCAGGTGATCCACCCACCTCGACCTCTCAAAGGGCTGGGATTACAGGCGTAAACCACCCTGCTCAGCCATGTTTCTACTTCTTTTGCAAGGAAAAGTTGTGTTGAGAATTCTTTACATACTCTTTAAGCCATGGTATCTGAGGTTTAATGGGAAGTGTTTTTATCCCAATACAGTTAATAAAATTTTCTCTATCCGTTTTAAAGTGTGTTGGGTCTATAGGTGAATTGAAATTTATTTTTTGTGCAGTGTTTAATTGTTCTGTGATTAATGGGCCATTGAAAAATGAGATTTTGTGAATTGAGATTTTCTTATTGGTGTTATGTGGCAAGTTCTGGATATTTCTAACCCATTGTGTATACTCTGTTTTCCTTTATTATGGGGAAAACTACTGCTTTGACATGACTCTTTATTCCATTTTCTTTGCTAATGAAGAGCTGGTGTCAATTTGCAAGTACGTCAAGTTTATCATACACCATTGTCTCATGGGAGTCATTTACATTTGTGTCCTTTATTTTTTGTCACTATTTCTGAGTATTATTTGGATAGTTCATTTTGAATTAAAGACAGACCTGTGATATCACAATATTTTGTGTCTAATCTGGTGGAGAAAGCATTTAGTCTCATGGTCAAGTATGATGTTAGCTGTGGTTTTAAAATAAATTCCTTGAGTTTGAAAAATAATGATTAGTCCGTAATTCCATTATATTCTTTCTTTTCCCTTCCCTTTCCTTTTCCTCTCTTACCTCTCTCTCCCTTCCTTCCTTCTTCCTTCTTCCTTCCTGATTTATATGATTGTGCTTGTCTTGTTTTGTCTTCAGGGTTAGGTTGATTTGAATCCCAGCACTTTGGGAGGCCAAGGCCGGGGGATCATGAGGTCAGGAGATTGAGACTATCCTGGCCAACATGGTGAAACTCCATCTCTACTAAAATACAAAAAATTAGCCGGCCGAGGTGGCGCTGTAGTCCCAGCTACTCAGGAGGCTGAGGCATGGGAATTGCTTGAACCGAGGAGGTGGAGGTTGCAGTGAGTCAAGATCATGCCACCGCACTCTAGCTTGGTGACAGAGCAAGATCCCGCCTCAAAAAAAAAAAAAAAAAAAAAAAAAAAAA